TATATATATAGTACACATAAATTATATTTTTAGTTTAATCATTTGAAGTTTACCATATTCCAATGTGAATAAAACATGAATTTCAGATTTGCAAATTACTGCATTTTGGTGTAAATGAAATTTTACACAGCATCCCAACATTTTAAATATTGGGGTTGTATAACTAACAATGCATGAAGTTTATAGATCTTTCTGCAGGAGAGAGTGCAAGTATACAACCTGTTTAGCCAATTGTAGAAACAAGGAGGAGATTAAAAGGTTGATATGCCAAAGGCTCACATTAGAGTTTATGTTCTTAAGTTGCATCTTGGCAGCCTCCACCCTTAACCGTGGCTAAGTATTAACTTCCAGACTTCAACACTGAACCACACTTTCTGTGCAAGCATTAGCACCTCCTCTGCTCAGCTGACTCAACGTCCTACATACAGACTCTTTAAAGGGCCATTAACGTAATTTTCTAGAACTCCCCCTGAAGAGAGACACAGGCACTAAAAGGAGAGTCTGAGACACAGATAATGAGTGGTGAGGGAGACTGGTGCTCGGGTTTATAGGCCAGGCCAACTCACTTTAATGTGAAACTCCATTTTGGTGATGAGAAGTTTGAGGTAGATGCTGCACAGCTTCCCATAGCCTTCACTCAGGTGGCCCTGAGGGAGAAAAGATGAAAGATACATGGGAGAGAAGAAAGGAGAGGCGTGATCAAAGGCAGAATAAAATCATCCTGCAAGAAGACTGAGGTGTAGGCTGGGGATAAAGAACAAAGAGAAAGCATTTCAGTATTTCAAGAAAATAAACTTAAATATGGTAAGATGTGGAGAAAGTTACTGAGATCTTAAAGGTTTGAAAAACTGAACTACAGCAATCCAAATATCAACAAAGCATAATAAAAACCAGCTGAATCTGAGGCATGGTTTACTTTAATCTGCAAACATGAACACACTAAATATCTTGACATACTTGGCTAATTTCTTCCTACTTCCTGTTTCTCAAAGCCTCTGAGTTCAGCTGGTAATGACAACAGGAAACACAGGCAACAGCTCCGGTCACACTGACCAACTTCCTGCCGACCTTCTGCTTGGTGACGTCAGCAAAAAACTGAGAAATAATATCACGGCCTCCACCCAAGTCAGTGTTGCCTAAGACACGACGGAGGAGTGACTGCTGACATTTGTGGTTAAAACCAATTTCGKTCTGAACAAGTTCAAACACTAAAGTAAACTCTGCACTTAGATCAATGGCAATGTCAAAACAATAGAGGCTTTATCAACACAGTGTATAGTTCTTCAATAACGTTAAACTTTCAGCTCTTCTGACTTGTTTAAGCTCAGCTTGAGAGAGGAGATTTCCATAAAGAAGAAACATATCTGCTTCTGTAATATTCATGTGTCAGCCCCAATGTGAAGGAACTCTGTCAGCCTGTCGTCCTAAGCAGAGTGACAGACTGTCAAACCATGTATCGGTTTTCTGCTAAACTACGTGTCAAAAGCTGCTGCTGAATGCTGCACTTAAAACAGGGGTGTCCAGTCCTGGTCCTCGAGGGCCACCGTCCTGCAGGTTTGATTTGTTTCTCTGCTACAAACACCTGATTTGAATGAAAGGGTGATTAAAAGACTTTTGCAGAACTTGAACAGGTAATTAAACTATCGAATCAGGTGTGTTGGAGCAGGGAAATGAGTAAAACTTGCAGGATAGAGAACACCCCTGACTTAAAGTGATTTCTGAATCTCTTAGATCTCTTTTACACCTCATTTTAAAGCCAACTTTACACAACATCTAAAACTAAACCCATTTCAGCAGCTGCCACTTATTAGAAACCTGCTCAATAAAAAAAATGTTGCTACTTTATTTCTCCCATATTGTGTCTGTTAAGTGATARCTTCACAAAAATGTGACCTAAATGGCTCCAAAACATTAATGTCAAAATTTTAATACAGTTCGGACATCTGAAGGTATTGTAATTTTTACAAGAACATCATCAGACCTGCTGCTTTACTATTTGTTTTTCGTCTCACAATGACTCACTTCAGCCTAATTTGACTTTACTCAACACCAATTCATGTTTTAATGAAAATAATTTTTGACAGACACTTGTTTAATCTTCCTCTCAATWGTAGGACAGCACAGATCAGATTAAAAGATATGACTTGGGGTTAAATTCTTTCGAGTCGTGACGGCTGCAACATGACATCCTTGCTTACCCACATCCTGCTCATATCAGCCAGATCAGCCTTGTTCCTCATGGAGTCTTTGATCACCTGCAGGGACAGAAATGAGGTCAGGCAGAGTTTTTAAAACACAACAACAGTATATTAACTAATTGAAAAGCACAGTGACGTGTCCTGAGAACCACAGGATGGACGAGCCGTGCTCTATATGAGAGGTTGGCTCGTCTTGACTTACGTTCGGGTGTCCGTCTCGCAGCAGCTTGTGGAAGACGTGGCAGAACTTCCAGCAGAGCACCGCGTTGCTGGACAGGGGGAGCCGGTTGACGACAGCCCAGAAAGTGTGGGCCCCTTTCTCATGATGGGTCCCCAAGATGCAGGGTGCAGGCAACAGTCAAGGAATGTCAATTGTTTGGTTACCGCTCAAACATACTGAAGAAACATTTTTAATATTTATATATTTTAACTGTACCAATCAAAGCTCAAATTAATATTCATAATTATACTTTATTTTTATTTAAATGCCAAAAGATACTGATAGGTTCAATTTAACAGTTTCAACATAATGTTGAAATGTCAGGCAATACTTTTTGTGACTGTACAAACATAGACAATACAAAATCCATAAAATACACAACCTCACATTGGAGAAATAGATTATTTCTGWCCAGACTGAAACTGAGTCCAAACAGGGCCAAGACCAAAATAAATGACTGGTATCTTAAAACAACTCCTGCAGAAATATAACATTCTTGTCTCAAGTTCCCARACTAAAGGGCTACAGCTAGCTGCTGCTACATTGCTTTAAAAAGACTTCCATGTAAATAACCAGGAAATGCTAAATTATTGGCATTGAAAAAAACAGTGTTTAGATGAAACACTGATTTATTTTTTGGATAACTAGATATTTCTAAACAGTGGCTGCAATCGGACTAGCCTTTAGCTTGTCATCTGGTCAATGAGCTATCCACAGGTAAGGAATTAAACTTTTCTGAAAATGCTTCACAATACTGTATAYAAATGATCCTGCTTTAACAAAACTAAAGAAACCTTCATAAACCTAATCTCTACACAGAATTTAAAATAGCCTTTTTATGCTCAAAGTGTTTGATAAAACAGCTTTTAATAAGTCAAGAAAAATAAATAAATTAGACCACGTTCACAAGAAGGGGTTCCGCAAAGTTTGTTGCTTTGCACCAATGTAACCCTCAGACTCTGCACACACAAAAAACAAACAATTCCTCTCCTCACGCCGAGACAAATGGACGGAGACAGTATGAGGATATTCCTGGCATGCTTCTCTTTGACAGCGACCTCCTGTGTGTTGATGGCCTTGTTGATGCTGACGGCCTGGAAAGAGGAGAACAGAAAAATCAGCCCACAGATTCTTACTGCAGCATTTCAGTATGAACTTGACATCCTTCCACCTCTTTTTAAAACCTCTTTTTATTCCTTTTCCAACACTACATGGAATAGCAAGCAGCATGTTTTTATTTATTTTTTTAAGAGACGACTGATTGACCCATTTTTTGCAGAGTTAGTATTCACGGCAGCTGCTGCGAAGCTTTACAGCCTATAAAGATTGTGAGAATCAGTGAGATGATCGGTGGCAGAGTGTGCACGCAGGGCCGGAACATTGTGTGTGACTTCTCTTTCATTAGTTTGTGGTGGAGTTATAGGATTTGGCAATGTAAACAGAAACACAGAAGCCTAGTTCCTGTTTYCTAAGCTTTAGGAAACAATTATTGTGAAGACGATGAGCATAGACTTCTATATATGACACAAATTATGTTTGGGTAAGCAGATTATCTGTGGTGTGAAACCTGTTCACCAAGCCTCGGAAAACACACTACAGTAATCTATTTTTATACAAAAAGTCAGATAATACTGTATGGTTATATAATTCTTTTTTTTAAAACATAATTATCTGAAACTCCATGATTTCTTGTAACCTGTATCAGCTTTAACTGACTAAAGACTCGTTCATAAAACACCTCAAGTTTGGGACCTATAAGCCTTCTGGCTGCCTCGGTGTGATTTCTGAATGGACTGAGGTGGCAAGAAGGGTCAAAGCTAACCCACCCACCCCCAGTGTGCCAACTTCAAGGCCAGCATTGTTAAACCTCACAATCACACACTGATGATGGCAAACTACTTTGTAGCCACAGCTGCCCTKGGGCACACTGACAGAAGCGAGGCTGCCATACACAGACGCTACCGGACCCTCTGACCACCATCAGTAGGCAAGGCRGGTGAAGTGTCTYRCCCAAAGACACAACRGCATGTGGGCATGGYGGGGAGTCGAACCTGTGACTTGCRGGTCCCAAGGCCGGCTGCTCTACCACTACACCACAGCYGCCCCATTTAATCAATTACTGGAGCCGAACTCTGACCTGTATCCTAATCCTAACTAACCCTAACCCCAATCCACACCGTAGTCCTAAACCTAACACATAAATGTTGTTCTACCATGTTAAGACCAGCCTTTSGTCCCCAAAAGGCCTACTGGTCCTGACAAGGTAGGTGTTTATACCAGAAAATGTCCTAAAAAGGTAACAAAAACTAGGTACGTCCACACATCAATAAAAGACTTTAATCTCAATCACAGAGTCAAACAGAAACTGAAATGATGCCAGTATTTGATAAAGATCAACATACTTAGTTGCTTTCGTTTGCATGGGTATCATGAACCCATCGCGAGTCAGGTCAGGTCAGGAGAAGACAGCGTACTGTTTAATAATCTCCTCCTTCCTGCAGAGTCTGCTCTTCCTCTTCCCGTACGTGAGCTGTTGCAACAAGAAGTTTACCAAAAAGAGTCACTGCAGGAGGAGAGGGACGGGAASGAGGCTGGGATGAAAGGGAAGAGGAAAGCGGGAACAGTTTTGGAAGCACTAATTGCTCACAATAAATGAGACGAGCCAAATGGGAGTCCAACCTAGCAAAGAAAACGTTCTGCACGGTTCTGTCAAGAGGTGGTGGAGGTCGTTTTATAAAGAGTCTGGAAGCGCCGTTTAGAAAGTCCTACATTGAAAGTAAAAATGTGCCTGTTATGTTATACCTTTTAGGCCAGTTCTGATTTTTGCAAATAGCTGACTTAATACCAACTTTGGCCAAATTGATAAATTGGAAACTAATAATTTTCCTTCCCAAGTTTCATTTCACACATACATGCTTTTGCTAGTAGGAATTAGCCACTGGGCTACCATATATTCACTGACTGGAAGAAGAAAACAAATAGTCAAAATCAGCTTCAGTCCGGTCAAAAACAATAAATGCATTATCACATGCTCCAAAAACAAGACAAACACCACATTTTTGTCTGCCAAAAATCTAATTTAAGTCAAATTCAGGCTCAGCTGCAGAAGTGATTCACTGACAAATGCAGTGTGAGCACAAAGAATACAGAAACTAACTGTCAAACAAAACGGACACTAAATTTTTCATCCTCATCTGTTTGCATGTTAGGAAATACAACACTGGTGTTCGAAAATGAATGCTTGTCAGCACCAGAGTCTGAGTCAGGATTCTGCAGCTCAGTCTGTGATTCAGTGCTGTAAAGGTTAAAATAAAAGTCAAAAGGCARAGGGCTAAAACGGTCCTGTTCAGGATGTGCAGAAGAAGACTGATCATCCATCATCTGATCAAAAAACCACAAGAAAAAGGTCACAGAGTTAGAGACAAACAATGGGTAATGCTGTTTACACAAACTCAGAGTCAAACTCAAGAATGTTTCCAGCATTTTCACGTTGAGCTTTCACCTTTCCACCACCATATKTATAAAAGACAGTCCATTATCTATTTAAACTTTTTCAATGCATTTAAACCTAAAAACTTGATAAAGAAGTTCATTATAAATCCAATACAGTTAGGTTTTAGATGCTTTAAGCACCCAAACATCCCATTAAAATAAAAGAGTATTTAACTACGRTAATTCCAGACCCACATAAGAACTCTTAACACCAGGAATGACCATCACTATCAGCTTGATCTTTTCTTGTCTTGAATGGGACCCAGTTCTATGCAAAGTAAACATTGAAAAACAATTCTGGTTTTAATTGAAAAACTTCAACCTCTGACTGAATTGGTTCATAATTATATTTAAAATCAAGACTGAGAGACTACAGTAATCAATGAGATTTACTTTTTACAATTCAACAAGATCATCAGCATTCATAAAGCATGCTGTGCTTTTCTAGTTTCAGAAAACGTGATTGCAACATTATCGTTGAATGTTGCACAAAAAAAAAAGGCATTTTTTCCTCTGTCTGTTRTCACAGTTTTGCCATCACGATGCTCACAAGACTGTGGTTAACATTTTGACAAGTGTCATCTCAAATCATCTGTGGGAAATTTACATTTACATTGTCAAAAAAAATTTGATTAATGACCTTTACTAGCAAAATGAATCACATTGATAATTGTTTTATATACTGAGTTTCTATTTTCAAATTCTCCATCTCCAAAGCTTCAAAATGATGTGGTTGAACTTTGGCCATTTATAGCCCRTCAAGTAACAAGATAATTTTTGTTTACAAGTGCGCCAGTTGGAAAAGTCAATTTTTATTGATCTAGAGTCATGTCATTAGGATTACCAGCCCTATATTTAAAAATGGCAACCCCCAAGCTTTATAATGATGCAAACATTATATGTACAAAAGGTCCGTTTCAAAGAAAATTAGAAGAGATGGATTTAAATAAAATAATTATTTCTGMAGACATAGCTGTTGGAAAACTTCCATTTTATATATGAGGATCACTAGATGGTGTTTTTAGAGACTCGTATTTTCATGCAAATCTAAATCATGGCMAAAAAACCTAGATTTACAGGCAAATGTGCTGTGCACACAAACATTACTGCTCGGCATTTTAGCGATAAACAGTTTTTGTGCTGGACACATCACCCTTTCTTTGAGAACAAGCTCAGTAACTTTCATGTAATCTCTAAACACAAGCAGACACACGTTTGTTCTTGAACCCCGTGGGGAACTTCCTTTGACTTCCATTCATGTTTTTAGACTTTATAGCCTAACCCTGACCATATACCCTAAAATTAACCTCACAGGTACCTATCTGACCCTAAAACTAACCTAAACCTTGGTCCTAAACCCCGCCCATAATTTGCATTTGGACCCGTGGGGACCGGGCATTGGTCCCCACGAGGCTGCTTTTTTTTGGGGAAATTGTCCCTACGTTGTAGGAAAACACACACACACACGCACGCATGCACACACACACACACACACACACACACACACGC